AGACAATAGTTTTTTTTTTAAGACCAATAGTTTTTATAGCAGGTTTGAAAGGTATGCACTACAATCTATCTACATATAAAATGATTATTTTATACAAATTAAAAAGTAAAATAGAATTTATAATAGTATGGTTCTGTAAATATTATTAGTGCAGAAATAAGATTTATACTTGAATTCAACTGAAAAAAGGGGGAAAATGTCATAACACATACACAAAAATGAAAAATAAAATTTTATATCAATCAACCTATGACATTCAAAAGAAAAGTTATAACTTCAAATTAGCTTGTCTTTCTTATACTGTATTAATTGCTCAAGTCTGCCCACATTTCATTTGCTCATATTTATATCACATATCAACCTCTTTCCTCCTTCCCTCAGGCCTCTCTTCCTCTTTCTTCTCTTTTTCCTCTTTTTTAAAAAGTGGCTGAGTCATTTGAGATAGTTTTCAGACATCAAGACCTATAGCTTCTAAATTCAGCATTCAGAATCTCCTGGGAACATGGTCATTCCCATACATAATCACAGTGTTATTATTGCAACCAAAAATGTAACATTAGTTCAAATAGCTCCAATGATAAAGCCTTCTTTGTATGAGAGATTTGTTAACATATGGTTTCCCTACCATACTATTTATTTAAAGTATACAATTAAGTAGTTTTTTGTATATTTACTGAGTTAAATATACAATGTGTGGTGAAAGAAGGAGTTATAAAAGTCAACCATGGTCTTGTGATCAATTGAAATAAAGGGAAGATGTGGATACTAGGAATTAATCTGACACCTGTGGCTGAGAGAAGAGATGTAGAGTAGTAGAGATAACAATAGTGGCTGGAATATTAAGGTTTTCTTAAAGAAATAAGGAGATACAGGTACCTCAATAGGATTGAAACTAGATTTCCCTTTCAATCTTGGATTGAGGAAGATTGAACAAGACATGGGAGAGTTTATCTTCTCTCTTTATGATTTCCACATACTTGCATATGGTTGGCTAATAGAGATCTAATACTTGTTAGCTGCTGATATATTTCTCTCCTTGGGTATGCTTATGAGGACTTGGAGTACAGTGGAAGATTCTACCACCCTGAGAATCTTTCCAACATATGTATCTTTCATGGCATTTTGCTCAAAGAACATTGATTACTTCTAATTGTTCACGAGGTCAAGCCTCATACATTCCTAAGATATTTTACGATATTCATACTCTGGTCCCTGCTAGTTGGCTTCTCCAACCATTTTCCTTCACCTCTGAAAATGTAGGCTTTAGCCACACAGGACTAATGTCCATTAAACTGATAGTGTTGAATCCTCCATACATGAGCTTCTCTTCTTTCTCAGCTTTCCCCAAACTATAGTCAGGTGAGATCAGTGACTGTAAAGAGTCACTGTTCCAGGGCTCTGAGAGCATGGTGCTAGAACAGTCCTAGGTAATTACTTTGTACTTAATGAGTTCCTCTAGGACCTAGATTCCTCTGGGATTCAGGGCCTTTTCTTTTGGTCTAGGGATGTATAGGATGGGAGATGTGAGAAGGGATGTTGCAGATACAGGTGATGACTACAGAGGCTGTTACCTCACATGCCTTGGTGTATAAAGAGGAGCAGAATCTCAGGCAAGGAATCACTCTCAGACAAACTGGTTAAGTTGGGCAGCAGATTAACAGATGAATGACTTGGTTTCTCAGGGCCTTTCTAATAGGACGGTGTGATTTCTCAGGTTGTGTGATGTTCTGCTGCGGTATTTTCAGGTATGATGACTCTCCTCTTCTCCACCTCTCAGCCTCCAAGACTTCCCCAAATTCTAAAATATTTTGATGAGTGTCTACCGGTTACAAATGCTTTTTACAGTAATAGCATCCATTACTTCCTACAGTAATAGCATCCATTACTTCCTATAGAATGTATTCCCACAATGTAACATAATTTCAATATAATGACAACTTTAGAGGCACGCTTTAATGAAATAGTTCTAGCACTTGATTTATTTTAGAATTACTTTCAGTTTTAAAAACCTTGGCCCAGGATCCCTCTCAGGTATTGTGATTAAATCTGTCTTAGGGAGACCAGTGATGTTTATTTTTAATAGCATCATAGTTGCTTGCAGTTTCCTGTGTATTTGGTGGACAAGGATGGGCATCATCAGAATGCTAATTTAAAAAGTAGCTGTTTTCCTACTGAGTCAGAATCAGAGTTTTATTAGAACTCCCAGGTGATTTGCATGGACATGAATTCCAGAAGCACTGCTCTAGGAGGTTTTTATGTGCAATCCAAGCTGAGATCTACTGACTAGTGGGCGAAGAAGATGAGAGGCTCATTGTGTCACCAGTAGTAGCACCTGAAAGTTCTGTCTCTTGTTTGTCATCTCAGTGTTACGATTGACATAAGAGTCAGGTCCCATTAATTTACCTGGGAAACAAAATTCAAAGAAACCATTTGTGTGATTTACCTGATATTTCCCCCAACTGTATTGTCAGTGCATAGTGTTCAAGGGTAAAAACTGTTAATGTGGCTGGATCAAACAGCATCAAGGGGTGGAAATCCCAGCAATTGGACTCATTGATGTCATTATTGAAGGAGTTTCCCACATTTCTTAATGTTTCTCCTCTGCTTTCTTTGTCTGCTTTGGAGGCACATTAAGGTGTCTTAGTCAGGATGCTCTAGGGAAATAGAACCAATAGTAGATCTATCTATCTATCATCTATCTATCTATCTATCTATCTATCTATCTATCTATACATCCACCTACCTATCATCTATCTCTATAAATAGATAGCTATGTATTACCTTTATCATCTGTATTAGTGACAAGAGTAGTGAATCTGAGTTACTCTAACATTGTCCTTGGGCACAAAAATCACATTAATAAATTATATAATAAAATGTCATATTCAGTATTAAATGGTTGAGGTTAGAGACTTCTCACTCTGTGAAAATTTAGTAGGAGTAGTGACTCTCACTTAAAAGGACTTCGGCTGTCTTTAAAGTTGGAGGAATGCATGTCTCAGCCTGAAACACAAACGACAAATATTCATGAAACATCAGCCACATGGAAGACAGCTATAAAGCTTTAATATCAAAGGCGCTGAGTGCTATGGAGACAAGCAAAGTGTGCTGTGAAACACAGCAGTGGTCCTCATCTGGTCTCAGGAGACAGGGAAGGTTTAGCTGAACAAGTGACAGAGTAAGTGACATGTAATATACCTGGAGGATAAGTAAGGGCAAGCCCGTTGAAGAGAGAGCAGAAGGAGGAAAATGTTAAGCAAGAGGAACAGCAAGTGCAAAAGGCTGGGAGCAAGACGTAGTGACATTGAGGTCCAGCACTGTCGAAGAGACAAATGTGAGTGCAATTAGGGGGCCAGATGAAACTGTGGTGGCAGAAACGGTCACTTCTTAATTTAAGTATATGCGGTATATGTCGGGACTGGTTTGGCTCAGTGGATAGAGCGTCGGCCTGCGGACTGAAAGGTCCTGGGTTCGATTCCGGTCAAGGGCATGTACCTTGGTTGTGGGCACATCCCCAGTGGGGGGTGTGCAAGAGGCAGCTGGTTGATGTTTCTCTCTCATCGACGTTTCTAACTCTCTGTCGCTCTTAATTCCTCTTTGTGTAAAATCAATAAAATATATTTTTAAAAAAGTATATGTGGTATAAAATATATTAGTTTCAGGTGTACAATATAATGATTTGACATATGTATATACACCTTACAATGTGATCACAACACTACCTCTAGTTAAGCATCTTGTCATCATGCACAGTTATCCCAGTGTTATTGCCTATATTTCCCTTTAATGGATGGGTGAAAAAGATGAAGCATTTTTTGGAAAGGGATCTTACATTTATCTTAAGAACAATGAGGATCCATGAAGATTGTAGGGAGAGTGATGGTCATGTTTCCAGTGAGACTGACAGAGATTGTTAGAAGCAGGGATGTGAATTAAGAGGCTGATTCAGTAGTATAAACAAGATAAGAGGTCAGTTGGGTTAGGGTAGTGAAGGTGGAGAAAAGGAATGGATGAATGGGAATTAAGTGGCAGAATCTATCAGACTTGTGGAAAGAGTGGATGTTGATGATGGGAGAAAGGTGGGAATGAAAGAAAACCCTCAGGTTGATGGCAGGAGAGCCTGGACCTCTTTTAATGAGATGTGGGGAACCAGAGAAGGAAGAGAATGGAAGAAGAGCAGGGTAGGGTCATGATTTGTTTTGGGGATCTATTGAGTTTAAAATGCTGTGATACATCCAAGAGAAGAAAATCATTAAACAGCTACATATAGTCTTTTTTTTAGATTAGAGAGATATTTATATCTGAAGGTTAAATGGTAATCAAAGCCTTTGAAGTAGATAAGTATTTCTTGGTAATGTATGTAGAATTATAAGATAACAGTGTTTAGGAAAAAGCCCTGGGGAACATCATCATGTAAGATTTTGACTGAGCCTTAGCCGGTTTGGCTGATAGGAGAGAGCATAAGCCTGAAGACTGAAGGGTCCCAGGTTAAATTCCAGTCAAGGATACATGCCCAGGTTCCAGGCACAATAGCCAGTAAGGGGTGTGCAGGAGGCCGTTGATCAATGATTCTCTCTCATCGTTGATGATTCTCTCTCTCTCTTTCCCTTTCTGAAACCAATAGAAATCATATATTAAAATAAACTCAACTTCCATTTAGCAGAGGACAGTTACAGTTCCTGAGCTGTCTGGCCAGGATGGTATGAGGAAAACTGATACATTATGCGTCTCAGATGCTAATGGATGAGAGTGTTTTAGAAAAGTTGGAACATTATTATGTATTGAAGAGAAGTAAAAAAAAAAAAAAAGTTATTTTTTTTATCATTAAGGTTCTCAATATAGAGGTTTGGAATGCAGAGATTGTAATTATTGTAAAAAGGTGATGTAAAATATTTTTGTGAAGTACCTACAACATCATGTATCATAGAAATGTGTTCAGTTTTTAAATTCAGGTGTTAATGGATACTATTATTTTCTTCCTCAAGGTACTGGAGACAGATATGACTAGAAGGAATCAAACTGCCATCACAGAGTTCCTCCTCCAGGGCCTGCCCATCGAGTCAGAGCAGAAAAACCTGTTCTATGCCCTGTTCCTGGCCATGTATCTTACCACCGTCCTCGGGAACCTCCTCATCATTTTCCTGATTCGCCTGGACTCTCAGCTCCACACGCCCATGTATTTGTTCCTCAGTAACTTGTCCTTCTCTGACCTGTGCTTCTCCTCTGTCACAATGCCCAAGTTGCTGCAGAACATGCAGAGCCAAGTCCCATCCATCCCCTATGCAGGCTGCCTGACCCAGATGTACTTCTTTCTGTATTTTGGAAGCATGGAGAGCTTCCTCCTTGTGGCCATGGCCTATGACCGCTATGTGGCCATCTGCTTCCCCCTGCACTACACCACCATCATGAGCCCCAAGCTCTGTCTCTCTCTGGTGGCGCTGTCCTGGGTTCTGACCACGTTGCATGCCATGTTACACACTCTGCTCATGGCCAGGCTATGTTTTTGTGCCAGTAATGTGATTCCTCACTTTTTCTGTGACATGTCTGCTCTGCTGAAGCTGTCCTGCTCTGACACCCGAGTCAATGACGTGGTGATATTTATCATGGGAGGCCTTAATGTCATCATCCCGTTCCTACTCATCATCACCTCCTATGCACAAATTGTGATGTCCATCCTCAAGTTCCCTTCTGCTAGAGGTATGCGCAAGGCCTTCTCCACCTGTGGCTCCCACCTGGCTGTGGTGTCGCTGTTCTATGGAACAGTTATTGGTCTGTATTTATGCCCATCAGCTGACAATTCTACTGTGAAGGAGATGGCCATGGCTATGATGTACACTGTGGTGACGCCCATGCTGAACCCCTTCATTTACAGCCTGAGGAACAGAGACATAAAGGGAGCCCTGGGAAGAGTCTTTTCAAAAAGAAATCTATTTCTGTATGATGGTAAAACTTAGTATTTTTGAATTACTTTATCCAGTAGTCATATTGATATTAATATGTGGATATCAAATCATACTTTAAAAAATATATTTTATTAATTTTTCACAGAGAGGAAGGGAAAGAGATAGTTAGAATCATCAATGAGAGAGAAAAATCAATCAGCTGCCTCTTGCACACTCCCTACTGGGGATGTGCCCACAACCAAGGTACATGCTCTTGATTGGAATCAAACCTGGGACCTTTCAGTCTGCAGGCTGATACTCTATCCACTGAACCAAACCAGTTTCAGCTAAAGTCACATTTTTCCCCCTTCCTATTGATCTTTTAAAAATTACATTCTAAACAATTGTATAGTACAGTGGTTGGCAAACTCATTAGTCAACAGAGCCAAATATCAACAGTGCAACAACTGAAATTTCTTCTGAGAGCCAAATTTTTTAAACTTAAACTATATATGTAGGTACATTTTTAGTAACTTAATTAGGGTACTCCTAACCTGCCTTTGCTAAAAACTCAAAGGGCCAAAGAGCCGCATGTGGCTCGCGAGCCGCAGTTTGCTGACCACTGGTATAGTAAGTGAAAGAGATGAAGTGGAGGTGCATAGTTAAACTCGGAAAGGGGATCTCAGTTACTTGTTAGCAAGGTCTTCCTCTTTATTATTCCATGTGATACTGAACCAAAGTTTTAAAAACTTTGAACCAATCTATATATCTCCAGTTATTAAAGAAGTAATTTGTCATGTGTGTTTTTTTTTAACCAAACTGTTCTTTAAAAATAATTGCCACTATTGAATAAAGTTCAAATTTCACACTTTCTTGATTACCTCTGCTGAACTGGACTTTTTCTTGTTGATTACAAATTCTTAACTTACGTCTTCCTCAGCGAGTGTTCACAATACCCTGTCTTTTGAACATGAGTCATCTGATTTACTTTCCTTTCTTTTTATTTTTAAAAAAATATATTTTATTGATTTTTTACAGAGAGGAAGGGAGAGGGATAGATATTATAGCTAGAAACGTCGATGATAGAGAAACATTGACCAGCTGCCTCTTGCACATCCCCTAGTGGGGATATGCCCGCAACCAAGGTACATGCCCTAGACCGAAATCGAACCTGAGACCTTTCAGTCCGCAGACCGACGCTCTACCACTGAGCCAAACTGGCTTCGGCTACTTTCCTTTCTTTTTAATTGAAGCTAGCATAAATGGATTTTCTATATCCTGTGCTGCATAGTTTAGTTTTTCTTTACCTGGGAGCTAGCTTATACCTGGAATCCTAAATGTTCCTTCCTCAGTTCTGGGGAAGGAGGCTAGTGTTTAAGAATACCTCACTCTTGTTTAATATTTTGGAATTTATCAACAACTTTTATATTCATGATCTTAATGCTCTTGTGATTGAATTCTGCTCCTTTTTATGGAATTTGCCACCATTTAAAAGATTTAAAAATGGAATTTGATGACTTGCTAGGACCGCAGAGTGATTTAGTATTGTTTATTTAATATCCCAGTATATTAACCTCCACATCTCCATCTGAAGCCCAGAACTTTCTCCAGAACTCCCAGGTGTTATTCTCATCTGCCCATGGGTTTCTCCACTTGAGAGTCTATGAACAGTTCAATCTCAACATGCACATCATTGACCTCTTTATGTTCCCCCAAGTGTGCTCTTTGTCCTTTATTCTATACTTTGATTTTTTAAAAACTAAGATCTTGGAATAACAATTGTTAATAGGATCATATTTTTATTAATATCTTTGTTGATAGGATCATATTTTTATTAATAGCTTTAAGTCATTTTTTCACTTCGTTTTTATTGTTGACACTATTACAGATGTTCCCCTCCCTCCCTTTACTTGCCTCCACCCAGTCCCTAACCCTCTTCCCTCTGGCCATCTTCAAGTCATTTTAAAAATAAGAATGGTACCTGAATACTGTATTTATTGAATTTTCACCTATTTTAGATTTTTCTTTTGTATTTGTGTTTCCAACTTGGCTAAGTATAGACTTTTGAGGACCTTTGCTTTCCCGCTTAACCTCCATTTTCCAAAGTAACTATGGAAAACTCTGAGGTAAGGCTGACTACTCCCTCTCCTGTCCACCCCTTACCTGGCCATCTTCTTTCCCCCTTGAAACTTGTAGGATTATTTCTCCAAACATGAAGTTTAATAATTTCATCAGATTCTGTTTGTGTATCAATTTCCTTTTGTTACAATTTTCTAATAACACACCAAATGATTTTTGAGTTACAAGTCTTTCATCTTTCTTCATTTCAAAAGAGATTTCTCTATCATATCTTGGAATATTATTATTGTCCCATTTTTTTCCATTCTCTAGTAAGACCAATAATTTTGTGGTTTTTGTTAATTCTCACTTGAGGATATTTTTTTGCGTTGATGTTAGAGAGAGTGGAAAGGAGGGAGAGGGACACACAGAGAGAAACATTGATGTGAGAGAGACACATCTATTGGTTGCCTCCTACAGCCTGCAACCAAGGTACGTGCCCTTGACCAAAATAGAATTTGGGGCCCTTCAGTCCACAGACCAATGCTCTATCCACTGAGCAAAATTGGCCAGGGCAAGACCAATAATTTTTATAGCAGGTTTGAAATGTATGCACTACAATCTATCTATATGCAATTGATAACTTTATTTTATACAAATTGAAAAGTAAATTAGAATTTATAATATTATGCTTCTATAAATATTATTAGTGCAGAAATAAGATTTATACTTGAATTCATAGACTGAAAAAAGGGGAAAATGTCATAACACATACACAAAAATAAAAAATAAAATCCTATATCAATCAACGTATGACATTTGAAAGGAAAGTTACAAGTTTAATTCCAAATTGTCCTTCTTATACTGTATTAATTGCTTAAGTCTGCCCACATTTCATTTGCTCATATTTATATCACATATCAACCTACCTCTCTTCTTTCTTCCCTTTTTCCTCCTTTTTAAAAAAGTGGCTGAGTCACTTGAGAGAGTTTTCAGACATCAAGACCTGTAGCTTCTAAATTCAGCATTCAGAATCTCCTGAGAACACAGAATAATCAAGTATTATGGCAACCAAAGATGTAATAGTACAAATAGCTCCAATGACAAAGCCTTTTTTGTATGAGAGATTTGTTAACATATGGTTTCCCTACCATACTATTTATTTAAAGTATACAATTAGGTAGTTTTTTGTATATTTACCAAGTTGTGCAACCATCACCATAATCAATGTTAGAATATTTCATTACCCCCATGTTTATTAACAATCAACAATCACTACCCATTTCCCTCTATCAATCACCAATCTATGGATTTGCCTGTTCTTGAAACTTCATGTAAATAGAATCATATAATAGGTGGGTTTTGTTACTAGCTTCTTTCAATTGGCTTAAATTTTTTTATTATATGTTGTAATATGTAGCATTACTTCATTTATTTTTACTGGTGAATTGTGTGGCAACATCACAATTTTAAAAATTAACTTATTTTAAATAATTTTTTATTGTTGAAAGTATTACATATGCCCTCTTTTTCCCCATTAATCCCTCTAGCCTGCCCCCATCCCTGCCCCAGGCCTTCAGCACCCTATTGTTTGTGTGCATATTCTATATAATAAAGAGATAATATGCAAATTAACCCTCTTGCCCTCACAAGATGGCTGCATATGACTAGGCCAGCAGGGGAGTTAGTGAGGGAGGGATGACCAAATGACTGGACAAGCAGCCTGAGTGGGGTAACCAGGCTGGCAGGGGGGTTTGTGAGGGGCAACCAGGCTGGCAGGGGGGGTCAGTAAGAGATGACCAGGTTACGGGGCGGGGAGCAGTTAGGGGTGACCTGGCCATTGGGGGTGTGCAGTTAGGGGCAACGAGGCCAGCAGGGGGGGCAGTTAGGAGCAATCAGGCCAGCATGCAGAGGCAGTGAGAGGCGATCAGGCCAGCAGGGTGTGGGATGGAGGGATAGGGACAATTAGGGGCCACCAATCAGGCAGATAGGCAGGTGAGCAATTAGGGGCCAGATTGTGAGAGGAATGTCTGACTTCCAGTTTAGGCCCGACCTAAATGGGCAGTCGGACATCCCCCGAGGGGTCCCAGATTGGAGAGGATGAAGGTCGGGCTGAGAGCCTCCCTCCCCACTGTATGAATTTTGTGCACCAGGCCTCTAGTATGCATATAAGGCCTTTGGTTGATTACCTCCCACCCAGCCACCCTCCCCCCTGTTTCCTCCGAGTTTCCACACTCTGTTACATGCTTCCATGTCTCTAGATCTATTCTATTTTTAAAAAAATATATTTTATTGATTTTGTACAGATAGGAAGGGAGAGAGATAGAGAGTTAGAAACATCGATGAGAGAGTGTCATCAATCAGCTGCCTCTTGCACACCCCCTACTGGGGATATGCCCACAACCAAGGTACATTCCCTTGACCGGAATTGAACCTGGGACCCTTCAGTCCCCAAGCAGACGCTCTATCCATTGAGCCAAACCGGTTTCGGCTAGATCTATTCTATTTATCAGTTTGTTTTGTTACTTAAATTCCACATATGAGTGATATCATGTGATACTTGTCTTTCTCTGACTGACTTATTTCACTTATCATAATACTCTCCAGGTTCCTCCAGAGAGTCTCAGAGGGTAAAACATTCTTCTTTTTTACTGCTGTATAGTATTCCAGGGTATACATGTACCACAGCTTTTTTATCCACTCATCTACTGATGGGCACTTGGACTATTTCTAGATCTTAGCTATTGTAAATTGTGCTGCTTTAAAAAAGAGGTGAATACATTCTTTCTGATTGGTGTTTTGGGTCTCTCAGGATATATTCCTAGAAGTGGAATCACTAGGTAAAATGGCAGATGTATATTTAAATTTTTTGAGGAAACTCCATACTGTTTTCCATAATGGCTGCACCAGTCTGCATTCCCACCAGCAGTGTACTAGGGTTCCCTTTTCTCCACACCCTCTCCAGCACTTGTCATTTGTTGATTTGTTGATGGTAGCCATTCTGACAGTACACC